AATTTTTTTTTTTTTTTTACATAAAACATATATTAACTATATCATATATTGTAAAATATATAATAAATTAATCATTATTATTATAAATTATTAATATTGTTAAGTCTAGTTCCTTCTAGTTCTAGTAGAAACTCAGCTGTAACTGTAAGATGCACATAATATTATACAATGATCTATTTTCCTGATCCCTACAAAATACTACTGGATAAATCTTGCAAAATAAGATATATATATATAGAAACCGGTGTCAGTACTGCAGACTGCAGCGCTGCATGGCCCTCGGCATGAAACAAGACTGTGAGTCCAGTTCAGATTCATGACTGATGACTCAAATCATGCGGCTTGTCATTAGACTCATGAAATTCCTCCAACAGCTGTTCAGTGTGAGAGGAAACCGGTGGAGGTGTCGAGAGAGAAGCCAGCAAACTGTGCACCCTCCATCGAAAAGATCTACATCCGTAAAAACCTCTGCAGTCCTCTCGCTGCCATGCCAACATTTGTTAGTGAAAAAGAGACTACCAGGTATGGGTGTGAATGTGTGATTGAGTCAAATAGAGTCTTTTTTTTTTTTTCTAACTCTCACTCTGGGTCTGATCACAGGTCCACCAGTTTACTGGACTCAGTTCACACATTATGAATGTAGAAACAATCCTCACAGCCATAATCAACCACTTACAGACCAGCCTGGATGAAGGTATGTGGACCCGATGCTCTTGTTTTCGTGTCTCCTATCTAATTTATGTTACTATCATAACTTTTAGCTAATCAACCTTTAGTTAGTTCATTCAGGCTTTTGCAAACATTTTGGCATCAAGGACCCCCATAAAAGATGATACCCATGTCAGAGACCCTATACTAAAGTATACAGACAGCTAAATATTTTACATGTACATATATTATACATAAAAAAACTCATTTATACTGTGTAAGAAAAATATTAAGTTTGATATAGAGTGCTGCAGGGATGATGTATTTTTGAGGCCCAGAAACAAGTTAGCAATTAATCACTTCTAGTTCCATCATCCCAAAGTCTATTGGGTTTTTTGGAATGGGTTTTTGGTTAAATGCCTGAAATAAGGTCCTTAAAAAAAGCTTTTGAAATCTTTTAGGCTATGTTTACACAACAACGATGTAGCCAAAAACGGAAACGGCTTCTTAAACCGCACACTAGAGGATTTTAAGGCCGATTTTAAGCCCGATTTGCACCCCCGAACGATCGGGGGTGTGGCCCGATTCACGGCTTGTCGCAAGCGATTTTTTTATCCAAAAAATCCTCTATTATGTGGTGTCATTACGATTATTTAACTGCTCCCGATCGAGACAGAGCGTCGCCGAACTCAAATCGTAAATATCAAACATGTTTGATATTTACGACTCTTGATCGGGCTGCCTCTGACGTGATACCCGCGATAGCCAATGAGAGCGAGCAAGCGTCACCTACCGGATGTTGCGTGCTTCTATAGCTGAAACTTGGCAGCCACAAACATGCCATGAAAGCAGAGAACATCACCCATATTCTTTTCTATACTTTGTTTTTCACTGTATAACAGAACACGCGCCGGGAGAGCCAGCTGAAAACGTCGATTGTCCTCTATTTGTTTTTCTTCTCTAGTCACATTTGATCTCACGAGTGTCCGTGAGATCTCGTGTCACTGTGAATTCATCCCTACAATCGACAAGATTTTCTAATGATCCTGAAGACATTGATTAGCAAACTCAGGTGTGTTTGATTAGGGTAGCGCTAAACTCTGCAGGAAAGTGGATCTCGCGAGCCAGATTTGAGGATCACTGATCTAGTGTGCACATTCAGAGGATTATAAGGCCGTGTCTCCTATCTAATTTATGTTACTATCATAACTTTTAGCTAATCAACTTTTAGTTAGTTCATTCAGGCTTTTGCAAACATTTTGGCATCAAGGACCCCCATAAAAGATGATACCCTTGTCAGGGACCCTATACTAAAGTATACAGACAGCTAAATATTTTACATATACATATATTATACATTAAAAAAAACTCATTTATACTGTGTAAGAAAAATATTAAGTTTGATATAGAGTGCTGCAGGGATGACGTATTTTTGAAGGCCCAGAAACAAGTTAGCAATTAATCACTTCTAGTTCCATCATCCCAAAGTCTATTGGGTTTTTGGTTAAATGCCTGAAATAAGGTCCTTAAAAAGAGCTTTTGAAAGCTTTTAGGCTACGTTTACATGACAACGATGTAGCTTTATTATAGCCTATGTTGAGTTTTTTTTTTACTTCTGGCAATTTGTACTGAGGCTTCAATATTCATCACACTGAGCAAAATGTGTAAGATTCACAAACTTTTGTTGGTCACAGAGCTTATTTTCTACAATAATCCAAAAGCCAGTGGAAAAATTCTATTGGCTTTTGTCGAGGGACCCAGGGTGATGCTAACTTTTGGATTGGCCTACATAAATATGCCATCATTGGAGCGCTCTTGTATAGAGAAAACAAAATTAAATAATTCTTTCAAAAATAAAATAGTTGGCTTTTATATTGCCATTGTATTAAAGTGAATTGTTAAAATATCATCTAAAATGATTCACTGATACACAGATACCTAATAAGAAATGTGTGTGTGTTCAACAGAAAAACTGTCCCCGGAGCGGGTGAAGCTAGTCATGGAGCATATCTGGCGTATGCAGGAATTTTGTAACAGTATGAGTCGCATGAGTCCTGATGCATATGAATATGCTTACCTCAAAGCTGTGGTTCTCTTCAGCCCAGGTGAGCACAACTGGAGTTCATCTGAAAAATAGGAGGGAAAAAACGTAAGGATGGAGTTGATTGTGTGTGTTTGTCATAGATCACTGTGGAGTGGACGGCACCCTTCAGATCGAACGCTTTCAGGAGAAAGCCTACATGGAACTGCAGGACTATGTGAGCAAAGTGTATCCAGAGGACACATATCGGTGAATGACTATAGTAGCTTGCATTTCTCCACCCAATCATGATAGATTCTCAATAATTATGTGCATAATTATGGTCTAATTAATTTTATTTTTAGTATATTTTAGATATACTAGTTGTGACTAGAAACTAACCTATAAATGATCTTTCAGTCTTTCAAAACTGTTAGTTCGTCTGCCTGCTCTGCGGCTCATGAGCGCGGCGGTGACCGAAGAGCTCTTTTTCGCCGGTCTCATCGGGAACGTCCAGATCGACAGCATCATTCCCTACATCCTCAAAATGGAGTCTACCGACTACAACAGCCAACCAATCAGCACCGCTGAGTGACAGAAACCCCACCCACAGCCACACCCATCAGCTTTGCTTGCTCAGACCCTTTGAGCCAAAACAGATATAATCATGTGAATTCTGAATGAGGAAATCATTTTTTTATGACTTTGCTTTTTCATTTGGTCAGTGGTTGTGTCTGAGTTATATAGTATGGATAAAGTGGTTTACCGCAACTGTTGCGGTTGGATCATTTGGGCTTTTATTGTACTGGTGTACTTATGTTTAGAAAAGTGTCTATAAAGATACAGGAAGTGCAAGGAACCTGTTCTTGAGAAGAACTTTGCCCCCTGTCCCAAGCACTGAATTCCTCTGTATGTATATGAATTATGTATATAGGAATAATAAATGATATACAGGGTTCCCACAGTCACAGAAAATCTTTTTTTTTTTTTTCAACCCTGGAAAATTCATGGGAATTTATGTAGCGCATGTAAATGGTTCTGTTTATGCTCTATTATATTTAATTGGCAAAATATTCATCTATGAGTGCAATCTTCAAAATTTGGTAAAATGTGTGGGAATCTTCTAGACAGTGGTTGAACTCTGTAACGTTTAAATAATGAATATGTTTGTGTTGTGTTGTATTTTTATTAAAGGGTAAACCAGACTTTCAGAAACATGTTCTGGACGAGCTTGGACGCTTAAATTGCACTATATGTCATTATTACGGTAACACTTTACAATAAGGTTTACTTTAGTTAACATGAACTAAGCATGAACAATACTTCAACAGCATTTATTAATCTTAGTTAATGTTCATTTCAGCATCTACTAATGCATTATTAAAATCAAATATTGTGCTGGTTAACATTAGTTAGTGCTCTGTGAATGAACATAAACAATGAATGACTGTATTTTCATTAACAAAGATGAATAAATACTGTAATAAATGTATTGTTCATGTGCTAGTTAATACTTAAACTAACATTAACTAATGGAAACTTATTGTAAAGTGTTCCCATTATTACTATAATTGAAACACTTATTTCTTAATAAACTGCTAATGTTTTAGTGAACAAAAGTTAGTGCATAACACCCAGAGACAACATGATCTGTCCAAACCAAAGTAAAGAAGTTGTTACATTTAATTGTTAGAATTTGTATCACTGTTTTCTTAATTGTGGCAAAAAGAAAATATGATCTTTTAAAACTGTTTATACGGTAAATTAAGACGATGTAATGGGGACATGAATATTCACTGCATAACAATCATGAACCTGCTGCTCGTTTCATTGTTTCAGGTAAAATATAAAGATTAAGGTCATTTTGAAAATCATGGTTTAATTTTAATCCAATTAGAATTTGAGGATTCTGTATATAATATACATCTCAGAGAACTACATTTCAGTTTGTAATTCAAAAGTAAAGAAGTTGTTACATTTAATTGTTAGAATTTGCATCACTGTTTTCTTAATTGTGGCAAAAAGAAAATATGATCTTTTAAAACTGTTTATACGGTAAATTAAGACGATGTAATGGGGACATGAATATTCACTGCATAACAATCATGAACCTGCTGCTCGTTTCATTGTTTCAGGTAAAATATAAAGGTTAAGGTCATTTTGAAAATCATGGTTTAATTTTAATCCAATTAGAATTTGAGGAGTTTTGTATATAATATACATCTCAGAGAACTACATTTCAGTTTGTAATTCAGTAAAACGAGAGACATAGTCTGAACGGCTCTGCATGAATTTAAAATTGGTGTACGATTATTTCTAACGATGCTCCACACTCCAGTTCAGATGGTGGCGGTAATGCACTAATAAGCTAGTCTGCCAACCGCCAAATAAACAGAAGAAGAAGAACGCGCGTGATGGTGTGCAGCGGGAACGGTAACGTCGCGTGACAGTCCGTCAGTGTTTAGAGTCCGTCAGTTATGGCGGAGTACGCGAATTTAGTGCGGCGGGCCGCGGGTCAGCTCACCGGTCATGGCGGTGTTAGAGGCTTCCTGCTGCAGCTCTTCAGGTGGGTCACTCAAGTCAAATAGATTTGATCGCTTTTGATGTAAACAGTGCTGTAAAATGCAGCGTGTTAAGCTGTAAGACACTGAAGCCAAAGCAATGACCTCTCTGATAGTGACGGCACAGTCAAATATATGTGAATGCTAAAATAATTTACTGGAGTAATTATTATAATTCGCATATTTATATTGCATCTGGTGTCACAATACAACAAGGCAAATGAGAGTAAAATATTTTATTTAAACATTGAGATCTTTATGTGCATATACATAGAAACTATATATTAAAAACATAATCATTGTCGTACAGAACAACAACTAATGAGTGTTATGATGTAATCTTTTTATTTGTATCTTTATTAATTTATATCATGGTTATTATTATTATTAGGAATGGAACACTATTTTTGGAACTGCACTAAATATTTTAGGGGATTTATTATTGATATTTATATATTATTCATTTTTATGCATATTGTTTACTTATTAAGTCTAATATATAATATAATATGTTAATAATTTATTTTAAAAAATGTGTCTTTGTCAGGGTGAATGATATCAAGACTGGAGCCTTGGTGGGTATTGACAAATATGGCAACAAATACTATGAGGACAACAGATACTTTTTCGGTATGAATATACATACTTTTGCTGTCTGTACACAAATTCACTGTGTTTTATGCCTTATGAATGTGTATTTTTCAATTTGTGACTTTCAGGCCGTCACCGATGGGTGATTTACACGACAGAGATGAACGGCAAGAACACTTTGTGGGATGTTGATGGCAGTATGGTCCCTGCTGAATGGTAATATATAGATGTGTTTGGCAGGATGTTTTCATGGATGTAGTTTTCTACCTTTTGCACTTAATATTATGTAATTATTGGGATTATTGAACATACTCTAGCCTTAAACAATTATTCTTGCAAGAAAAAAAAAATTAATTCAGCAGCATTGTGGTGTTGAAAATTAATATTGGCAGCAATAATGATTAAGCAAAACATTGGGTAAATTATGTATTGTAAAAAAGAAGCATATATTATAATATTTTATACAGAAATTCTCACTGCTTTGGCTCAAAATTAGTTAGCAGACAAACACGGGCTTTATTTGCCAATGTACAGTAATATATCTTCTATTTTTCTCTCTTTGATGTGTTTCTCAGGCACCGTTGGCTACACTGCATGACGGATGACCCTCCCACCACTCACCCTCCAGAAAGGGTGAATGATATCAAGACTGGAGCCTTGGTGGGTATTGACAAATATGGCAACAAATACTATGAGGACAACAGATACTTTTTCGGTATGAATATACATACTTTTGCTGTCTGTACACAAATTCACTGTGTTTTATGCCTTATGAATGTGTATTTTTCAATTTGTGACTTTCAGGCCGTCACCGATGGGTGATTTACACGACAGAGATGAACGGCAAGAACACTTTGTGGGATGTTGATGGCAGTATGGTCCCTGCTGAATGGTAATATATAGATGTGTTTGGCAGGATGTTTTCATGGATGTAGTTTTCTACCTTTTGCACTTAATATTATGTAATTATTGGGATTATTGAACATACTCTAGCCTTAAACAATTATTCTTGCAAGAAAAAAAAAATTAATTCAGCAGCATTGTGGTGTTGAAAATTAATATTGGCAGCAATAATGATTAAGCAAAACATTGGGTAAATTATGTATTGTAAAAAAGAAGCATATATTATAATATTTTATACAGAAATTCTCACTGCTTTGGCTCAAAATTAGTTAGCAGACAAACACGGGCTTTATTTGCCAATGTACAGTAATATATCTTCTATTTTTCTCTCTTTGATGTGTTTCTCAGGCACCGTTGGCTACACTGCATGACGGATGACCCTCCCACCACTCACCCTCCAGAACCCAAGAAGTTCCTGGCCAAAGTTCATCAGTTCAACAACAGTGGCACACTGAACTGCTACGTACCCTATTCAACCACTCGCAAGAAGATCCACGAGTGGGTGCCACCAAAAGCCGGGGAGAAATAATCCCCTCATCCTGTTTGTGTTCCCTTACCACCTTTGACCAGTTCTGCTGTTTGGAACATTCTGTAAATTGTAGCTGTATAATCATCAATAAATTAAAACAAATGTGTTTGTTTCCGAGTGACTTCAAAATTCATGTTCATAAAGCATTTGGAATATTGAGCATTACTTTTACAGTGGAGTCGGAGGTTTGACCCCCTTTCAGAGGAGCTCTTATACTCACCAAGGCTGCTTTATTTGATGAAAAATACAGTAAATGGCTGTTTTCTATTTTATTGTATTTGAAAATATAGTTTATTCCTGTTATGGCAAAGCTGAAGTTTCGGCATCATTACTCCAGTCTTCTGTGTCCCATGATCCTTCAGAAATTATTCTAATGTGCTGATTTGCTGCTCAGGAAACATTTATTATCAGTTAAAAACGGCTAAATATTTTTTGGAATCCATGAAAAACAGCAATGAAGAAAACAAAAATAACGACTTTATTCAACAATTCATCTCCTCTGTGTCTCTCCGCATCACCGTAGCGCCATTTTGGAGAATATGAACTGAACGCAAGCAGCGTATGCTATTCTGTGTCAGCCGTGACACAAGGACACGTTTTCTATGTGTATTCACGCTTCGATTTGAACGAAAACAGCCCATCCGTGCAGCGCGGCTGACACAGAATAGCGTACGCTGCTTGCGTTCAGCGGATATTCTCCAAAATGGCGCTATGGTGATGCGGAGAGACACAGAGGAGACAAATTGTTGAATAAAGTCGTTATTTTTGTTTTCTTCGCATACAAAAAGTATTCTCGTCGCTTCATAACGTTACGGTTGAACCACTGATGGCAGATGGACTATTCTGACGATGTCTTTCATACTTTTCTGGACCTTGACAGTGTAATTTACTTGGCAGTCAATGGGACAGTCACAAGCCTCCCGGTTTTCATCCAAAATATCTTAAATTGTGTTCCCAAGACGAACGAAGCTTTTACAGGTTTGGAACGACATGGGGGTAA